TATATATATATATATATATATTAAGAATAAGTTAATTATAATCTTGTGTCTTAATTTTCTATACCGATGGAAATAATTAATTAAACAATTAAAACCATAAGATTTATTTACTTAATTATATGTAATGTCACGGCGTGATGTGGGATATGGAAAATTAAACTTATCGAAATAATACCGGTTTTAGAGAGTCCGGCCCCTGCTAAGAAGTCACTAATTTAACGTATGTTATCTTGTAACAGCTCGCGTTACAGTACTATGCGCTGTTTACGAGCGACATATTTTATCACGGTCGCCGCGTCAGAGTTATCTCTGTTAAATATTAACTATACTAATAAAGCACCGTCTTACGTGTGTAAGTCTAATAATATGTTCCTCTCTCGCGAAGAATGCTCTTTTAATCGTATGCAAGGCCAACTTATAATGCGAGAGCTCTCGTTAATTCTTTGTATAGATTTCCCAGATTTATAAGTAGAATTGTTCACAAAGGTATAAGAAATATAACTTTTTCCTCATAACGATCTTTTATCATACATGTGCATGCGCGATCGTGATGTATGTGTGTCTTTATCATTTTTAAAATTAAAAAGCGAAGTCGAGTTACATCACTTTGCTAACCTCATTGCGCAAGTCCGTTGCACAAGTAGTTATACCATAGACCTTATAAATATATGGCTTGCAATAGAAGCAAAGTCGTGTCCGGAAGTACGTTTCACGCATGTTGACACATATATGTCCTGAATGCACACAAGACGCGGCAACGCTTGGCGTTGTGTAGCCAATCACAATTTAATACTTTTATATAAGAGTAAAAAAGATAATCGATAAATTGATTGGCTACAACGCCAATTTTCGTCGGCATGCGAGGCAAGCGTTGCCGCGTCCTGTATCGGACCAATGACCAGCTAACACAAAGTCGCCATATTGATTTATATGAGATTCTCATTGGTCTAGCCGCCTTATGTTATGTTCATTCATTTTTATGCATTTCATGTGCTTCGGCCCTAATTATATGACCGTTTTAAGGCGATATCATATAAACAGTATAGAGTATATACCGTCCATACTTTATAAAGTCTATGGTTATGATCAATACTCTATAGTCTTCGTGCTGCTTGCACTTTTTGCACTCAGGATCTTCATTTTCTCTTTTTCTCCAACACCCAAATATGTATTTATCTCGTTTAAAGTGCAACAATTTTTTGAATTCGGAACACGAACTGTGTTTTGCAAAATTGTATTAGCGTGTTTTTTATACTGAAATATTGGCAATGACTGACAGAAAATGAAAGAGACGCTTATCTATTTATTAACGACAGTTTGTTTCAATCACATTAATTTGTTTTTAGTTTTGTTGTAAATATTTACATATATGTAAGGTAGCAGCATAATCGATATCGAGGTTATGTTATTGACAGATATACAACAAACATCTTAATTTATGTTACGCGATGTAATAATTGCAAAACGTTCTTTGCAATGATGACGACTATTGATGCTTCTCTATTTACATTGAAAAAAGAACAGAATGCTTGCAACAACAGCGATAGTGATAATAGCTCGGATAATATCGACGACTTCTCATCTGTGCCCTTACCATCACTTTTTAAAAATTCTGTCATTGTCGACGAATCCAACAATGAGTTCTTACATCTCACTGCAACGGCATGTTTCTTTATACATATTAAAAAAATATACACATTTGCGCGCACACTTTTTTTGCTTTAAAAAGATCGTAAAAAATTTGTTAATTTTTTCCAAAAAACTCAAAGACTTAGACTTACATCGTTTTATTTCTTAGCATTAGATATTAGGTATATTTATATTAGATATATCAGATTGATCAAAATTCTGGTAAACACTTTAAGTATAAAGAAATATTTGATTTGCCATTTATTTCAAATTCAGTTTGTTATTTTTAGACAACGAATAAAAATTTAGAAATTATCAAAATTATTGCAATCAAATGTTAATTTTACTTTAAGTTTAAAAAGTTTAAAATTTAAAAGATAATATTTATGCTTATTAGTATAATAATAAATAACTTAATCGGGGAATCAAATTGTTTTAAAATGTTTTGTTCTAATAAAAGTAACTTTTTAATATTGTTAATAACTTTATCACATAGAGAGAGTAACTGTTATACAATATATATTTGTATAGGTTCGTGCTGTATATTTATCTTATCTTCATAAATGCTTACTTAGTAATTATGCAACTTGTTACAAGCAAAATGATGATGTATCAATTGAACGTATTGAAGTGAAAAAGTGTGCAGATCAAATGGAATTACATGCTGTCCAATTGGCATTAGAAGCTAATTTATACAGACAAAATATGCTAAAAATGGTAAGAAATATAATAAATAAATAGAAAATATTGTTGAAAATGATTAATGGAGCTAGACAATATATTAATGAGTTTTATAATTTATTTAGGTTTTATCATCGACATTTTATGTCATTAATGCTAGCTTCTCTATCCTTGCAGATTAACGACGTAAAATCACATACAATAAAAAAAAAAGTCTATAAAAAATTAGTAATATTTTTAGAAACACCAAAAGATAAAATTGATATTGCTGTACAAACAGATGACACATGGATGGATTTGGAAGGAACAAATATACAAAGTATATCTTTTATGTCCAATTGTGAGAAATCATTGCCTGAAATAGCATTACCTATTATGAATTATAGTAATTTCTGCAAAAGTAAGAATGCTGCGGAAGATTTTAATGATGAAGCAGATATGCAAATGCTGCAGAGCACAGCGAAAGAAAAATCTAACAATGCTAGTCCTGAATTTAATGATGAAATAAATTCTCATATAATGGATAATGTATCTATTTACAGAAATGAAGATGAAAATTCACGAGATTCCTTATTACAACATATGCAGGATATGTTTTGCGAAAGTGATGATAGTAGCGATCTTACGAGACTAATTGAGAAACATTCTGGTGTTACTAAAGCAAACATTGATAAAGAAATTAATAAGATATGTTCGGAAGCGGACATTATTGCAGACTCAAATCTTTTTCATGTTCCACTAGGTAATAATGTAGCGAGGCCTAACGTAGCAAAAGTAAATACAAGCGAAGGAAGAATCAGCTTTAGTCGCTATAAAGAAATGCAAAGTAGAAGATCCATTAAATTAAAGGGAATCAATGCAAACGAAACTGCAGTTGAAAGCAAGCAAAAACAAAAGATAAATGCTATTTGGTTTGTGGAACGCGTGCATCAAGTTTCGAAATTGAAAGCTAAAATGACTGAGTTATCATTGACAAATTATCGAAGGCACGGAATAGTAAAAGAAAAATTTCTTCGTTTATTTGGAGAATTTGAGGAAGAAGAAATGATGCCAGATTCACCAATTTGTATAGAGGAACATTTACCGGCTTGCAAAGAAAGAATAGCACCTTGGATTGTGAAATACTTAATGCCATTCTATAAAAAAAGAAGAATTAAAGACCGTCAGCTTTTCAAAGCTGTTGCAAAGTACATTACAGATATGCTTATTATAGAGAATACTTTTCCAGGTGAGTCGTGTCCACTGGTCGAACACAATGATGTTTTTCAGTACACGTTAAAAAAATTCGACAATTTTGTATAAAAATAAGTTAATGTTTAATAATAGTAAATAATAAAATATATTTGTGTAATATAATATTTTGGTCGTTTCGTATTCAAGTATTTCGATATAACACCAATAGAGAGGATTGTACGATTTGGAATACTTTGTCAAAAAGAGTTAGTTGTTGGAAAAAAACACTAATTTTAATTTCTTTAATTCAAATATTTTATATTGTGTATTGCTTCCTTTTTTTATAATTGAATAAAGAAAAAATATTGATGCCAGAAAAATGTATAGCAGCTGCTCTAAATGTACCTTACAATGTTTAACTTGATTCACAATATAGCGATATAAAAGTATATACTAAAACATTATTTTGTAGTCACAATATTCATATATTCTCCTGTTTATTTCAGAACAAGAGTGTGTAAACAAGTATATAGAAGATTACTTCAAGAACAAGAAGTTTATTAAGACTAAGCAGGATATATATCTATAAAAGAGATTGGCATTATATCAGTTTAATATGCAATACAAATCATTGAAAGTCATTAGAAATTGTACCTCGATATAGATCATTTTCTTCTCTCGCATAACATTTTTGATCTTTTGTTTATGCATCACATGATGGAATTAGATGTATTGTATGTTACAATGTAAATACGTATCATGAATAAAACAAAATTCTGAAAAAATTTCGAGAAAGGTGCGCGTGCGCGCACAAAATTTTTTTTGTGTAAAATCTTTCTGCATATATTTCTATTTTTTGTTGATTAAAACTGAAGAGGTATCAATTTATATATCAATTTTTAATTATGTTAAACAATACACTAGCTACATAATTAACAAAATGAGGAGTACATTTTACGATATAATTCTTATGAATAACATTTTTTTATTTTACTTATTTCTTTCGTTATAAACAGTATCATATGATAACAGTAGACAGAATCAACCTAGTAACATGTAAGAATGATTTTGTCAATTTACCATTTATTTCTTTATAAAGATGCTTAACTATGTTTTCGTGTAATAATATTTAAAGAATAAACTAGAAGTGGATATTTCCAAAAATAAGTATCCCGAATTGATATCGTAGCACTGGAAGCTTATTTATAGTTTTTGCAAGAATATAGAAGAATATTCGTGACTCCCAAACAAGATGTCAATAATATAATGAAAACGCGATCAAAAATGTGACGGTTTGGTGGAAAAGATATTTGTGATACTTTTTTATGGCGACTTATGTATTACGTATCTTCCCAGGTACATAATTCTTATCTATTACCGGTTCTTGCAGAAACATGTGCAAACATCGTTCGTTCTGTGCCAAAGGATGTCCAGCTATTCTGAAATACAAATGCCAATATGCAATACAAACAGAGACATTGTACACAATTACAATACAATTCATATATACAGATAAAAATTAATTAAAATTTTTTAAAGTATACTGTACATATATGTATACAATTGTACTACGATTTGAATAAATGGAGTCAATAAAATAAACGATTTCAATAGAATACATTTAGAAATATCTTTATGTAACTTTATTAACGTTGCAAACTGTCATCATTGGAAATCTTCATTTATTTGAAAAAAATCATTTTTCAAATAAATGAAGACTTCCAATGATGACAGTTTGCAACGTTAATTCAATTTGATCATAAAAATAGCGTGTTGTCGAGTCAGTCTTTTTACAAAAATTATGTTCAATTTGAACATGAGGCGAAAGTAACATAAAGATATTTCTAAATCATGTATATGTATTCTATTTTGATGCAAAGAAATAATTTGATGCATGGTGCAAAGAAATAATACGCCAGCTAAGCTATCTATAAAATTTATTATTTAATCTAGTGCTGTATGTACGGTAATTGTTTAAAAAATTTTATTTAATTTTTTTTTTGAAAATTTAGGTAAAACGGGATTTTTATTTTTTAGGCGCGTTTATATTTATTTGAAAGAAACAAATATCGACAGGCTGGAATAAGATGTGATATCTATTCCAGCCTATCGATATTTGTTTCTGTCAAATAAATATAAATATGCTTAAAAAATAAAAATTCCGTTGTACCTAAATTTTCAAAAAAATTAAATATAATTTTTTAAACAATTACCGTACATACAGCAGTAGATAAAATAATTAGTTTTATAGATAGCTTAGTTGGCATTTTTTCTTTGCATGAAACAATAAGCTGTATAACTTTCTGTTGTACATAAAAAACAATATGCTCACTTGTTAACAAAAACTTCCAAGCCTTTTCTTCGATCTTCGATAAAATCTTCTTCAAATATTCCATCGTCTCCACGAAAAGGCATTTGACGTTTCCATGCTTTTCCTGGTAAAGGTGGTACCACAATCTATAATTTACCAAAAAAAATATACCAAAAGTAGTTTACTATCTGATATTACATATCGTAAGATACAAGAAATACAAAAGTATCAAAAAAGGGCAAAGGAATTTGTGGATGCTGCCTGAGAGAAGCCAGGCATTTTTCTCGCATGTTATCGTCAACAATATACGCTTTCATATTTTCACAGTTCAATAATAAGTTGATGAAATAAATGTAATTTTCTCAAATATAGCTGATAAAAAATGCAGGATACTTTTTTCACTTTTTGTAAAACTTAATTTATAAATGAAAGTGTATGTAAAAGATTCATTCTATAATAAAAGTCTTTGTTGAATTTGAGCCTCGCTTTTAAGTATATTTACCTCTTTCAATAACTAACCTTACTATCTCTTTCTAATTCATTTCTCAGCCATTCAAAATCACTGTAACGTCTTCTTACTGTTGAGTCCTTAACTTTAAAGACTGGTAAGTTTGTCTGAAAAAAAAAAGATGATAAACATTGAAAAGACTATATGTTTCTTAACAAAAACATTTGCAAGTCTTCAACGTCTTGAAATATTTGTGATACGTGTGCATATTGCATATGCATACGTAGATGCATTTCCATACATCATCTATCTCTTACATCTATCCTTCAATGTTTTTCAATATTATAGTTTTATCCCTTTGTTGTTCCGAATATCAAGCTAGTCCGAATTTATAGACGGTCTTGACGTCATAAAAATAAAAAATATAAATACATTGGATTCTCGAAAATATTACATTTGTTTCGAAATCTGAGCGAATTGAGCAGCAGAAATGTATGTCGGTCTTTATCAATACCGATAGCGGGAACAACCCACGATATAAGCATGGTCTGATCAATTAATGGGCATGACTGAATTATGATTATTCAATACGACTGTTTCGCATTACTGCGGACGTAAAAGTTATTGGAAAAACTAAATTTCGACATATGTACGAAACGTTGAACGTGGTACAAATGTATAAAGCAAAATGGATATTACTCACCCTCATACGAACTTCGTAATCGGTATATCGTTTCTTGCCGACGCCGTGTGTGATCGGATTAATCACATCGATCTCAAGGAAATTCGCAGGTGCTGCGTAAGCGTCGTCCAGCGTTTGTTTTTTCACATTTAAGCGCCGCGTTGCGTCTACAGTCGTGTCCGCCATTACAAGTTTCAATTAAATACGCGTTCGCTTCGTTCTTCGTTTCTACAAAATGCTCAAAAACACTACCGACATGCAGTGAATGTTCCGAAGCACCGCCAGAAATGACAGCGCTTGGTAACTTGACACAATTCGTCTCTCTCTCTCTCTTCCCCCTCTCTTTCTTTCTCACCCTCCGCTACGTCACACATTACACGCACCCTCGTGCGTATTGTATGTCGTATACAGTGTCGTTCATGCCGTCCTTATTGGATGTAGCTTAATCCATTTTTTCTTAATTGAACAACTTTATTCATCTTTTCGCAATTTTAAATGTAATGTCCAATATGATAATAATTTGATATGGCCGGGGCTTTACGCTTCGGATATTTATTATTTCTATGATAAATAAGTTTATAAAAAAAATTTGTTTCTTTGAGTTTTTTGGAACGCACAGCGATACCAAATGAGTCTAATCACTCAACTATAATAATATTGAACTGGACGAGCATCGATATGTCACTTTTTCGTCGAGGAAAAAATGTTCTCAAGCAAATGACAAAAGTGTTTTTTTTATTCTCATTGCGCATGCACAGTAGGTGTTTCGTTTTGTATAAATGCGTAATAGGAAGTATTAAAAACTTTCTATTGCGCATGCGCAGTGGGAATAAAAGGAACGGTATTCGAGTCAGCCTGGTTACCGAGAGAGCAAGATTGAATGTGACAATTGGATCTATGTATGTACATACATACGTACATACAAGTGAGAACCAATCATGTTCAATTGTTCAATGAGTGCTCGCTGCTTCATTCAACATAAACATGGCCGTTATTTATTTATTTTTATTTTCTATATTATGGCCCACTCGCAATCAACTCATTACACATTTATATCAATAATTCTTGTTTCAGAGCAAAATGATTCAATACAAAAAAGTCGTTTCAATATTATTTTTTAATTACTATTCCGTTATTATGACGAATATGTATTATGTGTACATACATGTATAAATACGCTCAGTAAACCGAAATCTTCTCAATGTGTGAAAAGTATACAGTTTGACAAATATACTTATGGAAAATCCGTTTTTACACAATACATTCTCAATTTCTTTTATCTTTAAATTATTTATTCTGACATTTATTAAATTGTGTATCCTGTAGCTATTATATATGCGTAATTATATATATTTTGCGTTATATGCACAATAAAATAGTTATTTCCCTTGCTAAAGTAACATTTCTTTCTAAACGATATTACAAATAATCATATAGAACATATGTAGCATTAATATTCTAATACGAAATACAGCGTTCAAATTTCTGGGATTTAAAAAGTATAAAGATTAAAAAATCTTCCTTAATAATATTTTATATGTGCCGTTCAGTTTGCACCACGATACTGTATATCTTACTCTTCTAGAAAGAAATATTGTCCAGCTCTTTTCTGTTCCAAGTCCTACGAAAAGAGAAATTGATTAAAATTGTGCCCTTAAAAAATACAAGATTTTTTTACAATACGCGCATGCGTGAATATAAGGTAAAAGCAAAGAAAATTAAATATTTTTAGCTGTTTGCGTGGATAAAGTGTATAGAGCAAAAGAATTTTATGAAAATATATTTTACATTACCCAATCAAATTGCGATATGTTATAGCTGTTAATACTTTATTGTTAAGAATGGATTGAATATTTTCGATAAGATCTACGCCCTCTCAGATTCGAGAAACTCCATATCGCATATAAAAGTTATACGTACCTTTACCGACTGATTTTTATTGATTCTTGGTCTAAAGTTATTGGGATCTCTTCTGAAAGTGATGCCCAATAGTTCCAAAAATCTGTTCATACCATTTAACAAAGATTGAGGACTATGAGCAGTGGTTGATAAAGATGGTGTACCAGAAAATACTATCACACGATCAGCCAAGTATGTAGCCATGATGAAATCGTGTTCCACTACGAATCCTGTTTTCTTTGCATGTAATATAAATCTGAAATGTAAATGTATATGAAAATAAAATTTATAGTATTCATTTACAAATTCACATTCACATTTCTAGACAATAATACTTAAATCCAATTATGACATACCTCTTGATGACCTTTGCAGCAACTAAACGTTGTTCGGAATCCAAATACGCAGATGGCTCATCAATTAAATAAACATCAGCTGGCTTTCCTAGGCAAAGAGCTAGTGCAACTCGTTGTAATTCTCCTCCAGAAAGATTTTGCACTTCTTGATCCATAATATCGTCGATCTTCAAAGGTTTCATTACATCGGTTACAAATTGAGGATGCACGTATGCATCTCGGACCTTCTCGTGTAACAACTGCCTGACAATACCTTGAGATTTGGGGCTTATCTTTTGTGGTTTATAACTGATGTGAAGTTGAGGGATACTTTCTGCAAAGTAACCACTTTATTATCACGACACAAGACATATATCATGTGACGTACATACTAGAATTATTGATAAATAACATTTAAGAAATAATCTAAAACAAAGAAAAGACGATTGTCCTTGTAAATACGTAGATATACCTGATCCATCATCCGGAGGTAAATTGCCAGCCAGCATTCTGATAAACGTTGTTTTACCAGTTCCATTTTCTCCTAGCAAGACAAGTATTTCTGAATCGGTGAATTGTCCTTTTTCGACGTTTAATTCAAATGTTCCCATTGTTTTCGTCATAGCAGGATACTCATAGTGATTCATGCGTTTCACCTCTTCCTCGGTTGCACTTTCCGCTACTTTGAATACAAGAGATTCTTCACGAAATCGTAAATTTTCCGTGGGAACAAATCCATCGAGAAAAATGTTTATTCCTTCTCTTACAGAAAAAGGCATGGTAACAACGCCATATGCACCAGGAACGCCATACAGACAACAAATAAAGTCAGACAAATAGTCCAAAACCGATAAATCATGCTCCACAACGATTATGAACCTATTAAGACACAAGTAATAAATATATTAACAATTTAATAAAAATTAATCACATTTTTTTTACAAATACTTACTTGTCTGGATGAATGAGAGACCTAATAGTTACAGCAGCATTGAGACGCTGTTTGACATCTAGATAAGAAGAAGGTTCATCGAACATGAAAATATCTCCATTCTGGATGCATACCATTGCACAAGCAAATCGCTGAAGCTCACCACCAGAAAGTGCTTCGATACCTCGATCACGTATATGCAGTAAATCTAAGAAAAATATGTATTAACTAAAGTGTAAACCCAATTAATCTTTACGAAAAGAATGGCAAAAATAAAGATAACAATTCTTACTTACCGAGCATTTCACAAATTTCCATTTGATTCTTGCATTCATCTTTTTTATCTAAAAGCTGCTGCACGGTACCTTTCACAGCTTTAGGAATTTGATCAACATATTGAGGTTTAATAAGTGCCTTTAAATCATCTTCCAAAATTTTTGTAAAATAATTCTGCAGTTCACTACCTCTGAAATGGCTCAAAATCTCTGTCCAATCTGGTGGATCCTGTTAGAATAAAAATGCTTTGTGTGCTATACATTTTTTTAGTAAGTCCACACACATGTATATATATATATATATATACATATATATACATATACATATGCCTATATGTATATATTACAAGATACGGTATTCACATACGGAATATCTTCCCAAGTTTGGTTTTTGCTTGCCAGCTAAAATTTTAAGGGCAGTTGATTTACCAATCCCGTTAGTTCCTACGAGTCCTAAAACTTCACCGGGACGTGGAATAGGAAGTCTGTGTAGCTTAAACGAATTCTTAGAATAACGATGTGTTGTTTCTTTTTCCAAATTACTGGGAAGATTAATAATGGATATCGCTTCAAAGGGACATTTCTGTAAAAAAAAAAAAACTTTTGTTATTGTTACCAATATTAAAAATGATTAATTTTAATTCATGACTATTACATAATATATAGACAATCATTGTACAGAGAAGTTAAACAATCTCTCTGTACTTTTGATTCATTATTCTAAAGAACGTCTTAACGCTCAATAAATGTAATATTTATTAATTTTATTAACTACATCAAAAAATTATATTATTACATGTATAATGATAGTATCACATAGATACCTTGACACAGATACCACAACCAATACATAGTTCCTCAGAAATAGCTGCAATTTTACTGTTTGGATTAACTTCTATACAAAGTTTTCCCATTCGTACTACAGGACAAGATCTCTTGCATTCTTGTCTACACCGTTTAGGTTTACATTTATCAGAATTCACGATTGCTATACGGGTCAAACGATCTGTCTCTTCCATTGACTTTTTTGGTGGCATAATGATGCTGGCTAATTTAGGAAAATAAAAAAATTAACAAGACTTATACATTAAATACAAAATATATGTAAACTGCACAAAACAATGAATACAAAAAAAACTAATATTATAAAATAACAAAAAATTTAAACCAACCAGAATTTTGTAACTTATAATTTTTAATTTAATAATATTTCGATAAATTCTTATTGTGCATAAAATGATACATTTATAAGGTGTTTAGTTGATACTTATGATAATAATTATTACACATCCCTCAAACATCACTTAAATATGATAAATGAGCAAAAGAAAAGGATAAGCAAAAAAACGAATTAATAAAAAAAACAGAAAAACAAATATGAATAACCAAAGGTGCATTAAACTGTATATTGACCAAATTTTAATTGTCACGAATGTAAAAGCTGTTAACTCTCAAGCGACTTGTACCCTAACCTATTATTCAATTGACGATGCTAAAGTTTGTTTCAAAATATTTCGGAAATAAACACCAAAGTTATCGTAAGTGTTATTAAGAACAAATTGTCTCAAATAAAAAGTTAAAAAAGAAGCAATGTAATACAATATATTAATACATACAGATTAAACGACTCAAAAACGTGGAAGAATTCAGAGGAAGTGACTTCAAACGGTCTGAATCAATGCGTTCCGAGTTCCGACCTTTCCAGACCCTCCTAAGGGTGCGTTCCCACTGAGCGCGGCACGCGTCGCGTTATCCGAACTGACCAATCAAAACAACCCATTACTTTGCGTTAAGCCGGTTCTACATTAGTTGCAAGCCGATAGCAAGCTTGCTGCGACAGCCAATCCGAAGCATTGATTTCAAAATACAAGCTTCAGATTGGCTGTTGCAACAATCTTGCGATCGGCTTGCAACTAATGTA